GGGAGTCTCGGCGAGAAACCCCTCCCGGCCGTGGTGCGGCCCCTTCGGGTGCTGGCGTTGGGAGGAGGGGCTGGGAAGGGGAGCTTCAGCGGCGTTGGGTGAACGAAGGGAGTAACGTGTTGCCTTCTCCTTACTCCACAGACCCGAGGGGCAGGCTGCGGCAGCTAACCGAGGTATGCCCCAGCTCGTTTTGCTAGCGCGGTGCTCGTCCTGGTGCCTCAGGACTTCATTTCTGTGCTAGAGCTGCAACGGGGTGGTGCTCTGGTACGGAGACCTTCTGAAGGCCCGCAGCTTGAACGGACTGGACAGGTTGCCTGTTGCCGAGGAAGAATGTCTGAGCAAAAACCTGAAGTCGCATCTAGGCTGATTCCTGCGCCTTTTACGAAAGTTGTTTGCTGTACAAGGGTTTCAGTTAAACTAGCCCGAGGCGTTTCAGGAAATAACGGGCAGGCATTACGATAGAAAAAGCAAGGATTCCAGAGGGAGATTTAATGGTTAGCATTTGCTTAAGTCATAAGGGCTGTTCCCGGATAGCGTTGTTAATCGCCTTGATGCTTTACGTATCGTACCATGGTTTAATAGCATCTGTAAAAAATTAGGTAACTTTTTTCCAAATTCTGAACTAGAAAATCAGGAGTCTAGAGTACTCATGACTGCTGTTTTCTAGCCCTCTTCATCTGTACTTCAAAGTAATTTACAAAACAAAAAAATGTTTATTTTGGGGTTTTTTTTGAACAATTCTCTCATCCATACCTCACGTAATTATATAGCTGGATGGTGTGATTGCTGCTTTTTCTTCCTTTTACTATTTAAAAAAAAAAACCACCTGTTGGCATAAACAAGAGATGAGCTCAGGATGATGCTTTGAAAACTCAGTCTCCGTTGCACTTATTCAATGGCGAGGAGGAAGCCGAGGCTGGACTCCCCTTTGCGCGTTACTCGTAGCTGTTGTGTTGCATTGAATTTCGGTCCTGCGATGGATCCCGTTCTGTGGTGTCGATGCCAAGGAAGGGGAGAGCTGGCTAGCGGTGCTTCGGGTGGCTCCCCTGAGGCGTGCTTCTTCCCCCTCCCTCTCACAGCCCTTCTGTGAGAGCAACACTTTCTGGCTCTTACTGGTCAGAGCTTCTGAAAAATGCCTGCTGGAGTAAACGGAAGACATCTTATTTTTCACAGCCGAGCTGTTGTTTCATTCCTGTTCCTCTTTCACTTACAGCTCTTGATTTATAACGCTTGGGATTTTTTTTTCTGTTTTCTGTTAAATTTACTCTAGGTAAACGCCGTGGAGGTGGGGCTGCGAAGCAGAGACAAGGCCAAGTCCAAAGGCGGCTGAAGAAAGACGAGCGAAGAAAGGGTGCTAGGTATGCTGGGAGAAGATGATGTGGGGTGTCTGTCCCCGTGTGGCGGCGCTGCTTCTGCCTGCTTGGGGAGGGGGCATCACAGCAGCTGTTCTGTGACTGCATGGCTGTATTCTCTTCTTCACTTGATGTTCCCCCTCCTCTTCCTCTGATTGAAAGCACATTGATGTGCTAAAAGCGCCTTAAATTATGCTTCTGATACAGCATACTTATAAAATACATATATACACATATATATAAAAGATCTACAATATAAGTAATTTTTATGTATTATTATCCTGGTTTCGGCTGGGATAGAGTTAATTTTCTTC